TCCGCCCTGAGTGACCCCGCGCTCAGTGACCCCGCGCTGAGTGAGTGACTCCGCACTGAGTGACCCCGCGCTGAGTGACCCCGCGCTGAGTGACCCCGCGCTGAGTGACCCCGCGCTGAGCTCCCGCGCTGCAGGGACACTCCTCGGTACACGGGGCTTCTTGCCCCTAAACGTTTGAGGCAATTGGGCAGCAGCTCGTGCTAAGGGAGGGCCTGTGGCGTCCTGGAGGTGCAGGGTCGCTTGGGCTGTGGGAAGGAATTGAGCGCAGAGCGAGGGGAAGAGAAATAAATAAAAAAGGAGAAGGCCTTAAAATCTTTACAGTTCATTTTCAACTCTTGTGAGGTAATGAAAATAAACCCTGAGAGGCCACAGCAGACCAGGGCCAGGGAGGCGTTAATCCAGCGCAGAGCCAGACGGCTCCCGCAGCACATCTGTGCGGGCTCTGCGGCCGCCCGCGGGCAGGCCCTCTGCCCGTCCGGCGGGACGGGGCGTTTGGTGAGGGGGAGAAAGTGGCACCTTGGTAGGAGCAACTCTGGAAAAGCACTACTCGCAGTTTCTCTTTTGGAACCGGAAGGAGCAGCACATCAACAGCAGAGTGACTGACGAGCCGCGGTGTGCACTGGCCTTGTACCTCACAGCCAGGAAAACAGTGTTACCTGCTAATGCGAGCCCTGCATTCCCGCCACAGCTGACATTTGCTTCGCTATGTTATTCATAGACCAATCCACAACATTGCATCCCAGGAGTAGCAGGTATTTGCCTGCAGCATTCCTACAAGGACTGAGGGATGTAATGAGTTTTATTCCTGTTCCCCTTTCCCTTCCTGTGAGAGCTACACCCTCTACTATGTGCTCTGGTCATGGGAGTGGGAAAATGTCACCTTTACTTCTTCCAACTAGGTAGGTGTCAAGAGGGACATGTTTTCTGAAGTATTGTAGAGTCCTTGCCCTGTTTCAAGCCCGCAGGGCAGCCCAGGTGGCCAGATCTGAGGCCCAGAAGCTGAGGGATTCCTTGTGCTTAGTGTTGTGTAGCCTTCCTCTGCCACATTTCAGAGCCTTGATGCACTGCCTTGGTCCTTTAGGTTGGTGAGACAGTCTGATTAAGTTTTTAGTGACTGGTTCTAAAACCTGAAAAGCTCAAGGATTTGTAAAACAAATTGTTGTTAGGATTTGTAAAACAATGCTGTCTCTTCTGGACACACACATCTCTGTTTTAGTAGGGACACTACTAGTAATGAAAGTCATATTCAAAATGCAGGTACATCTCTTTTTGGTAAAAACTAGGGGGGGTTGGCTCAGACTTATGTCTGAAAGGTTATTTTCTACAGCTTTATAGCCTCCAGATTGCTGATTATTTCTAGAGATACTTTTTCTTGATTTGCAAAGCATACACTTCCCTGTACAGCAGTGCCCTTCTTTTCCTCCCTCCTTCTTACCTGCTAGTGGCTTTTCTAACGCAGCACTTACGTCATACTGTGTACTTGACTTTTGCTTTTTCCTCTTGTAAACTTTCAGTTAAGAATTTTATTTCTTTGGCTTTCAAAATGATTTTCAATTGTGGCACTTAGCAGGGAGACTGAAACCAGCACGTATCTGGATTGTTACATAGATACTAAGAATAGGAACTGTTAAATGCTTTTGCTAGCTATTCCATGAACCCATTGCAAATACAACATTGCCTGCTCATGAACACTCTACGATTTCCCATTCTGCTGTGAAAGTAATCTTTTTCTAACTCACACTGTGTAAACAGGTGTCATAAAATAAAAAGGCATATGGCATCGGTGTGGCAGCAGAATCTCACGAGAAGGACCTCCTGTGGCTGATGGCGCACATACCATCACTCAGGCTGTCCCTCCAAATGCCCCTGGGAGAGAGCAAATACAACAGCTGAACATTCCCCTCAAAGGGAACCTAAGGACAGAGAGGGAAAATAAACACTCTGCTTCAGGGCGCTTTCACCAGGAGACCATTGATTACCCTTGAGAAACAAATTTATGTTTTGAAAGCAGCTGAATGACATGGGGTGACATCGATTAGACTTTTCAGTCCTTTGCTTTGATGTGGAAAGCAGGGAAGGTGGGATTCATTGAACAAGAAAGGAAAAAGGCACTTAAATACTAAATAGAAGCAGTGGAATGAGGTTTTCCCTTTCTCCCTTTCTACGTTAATAATTTTAGTATTGGATTATGGAGTGAAGCTCCCCTCTGCTCATTTCTTCTCTGGTCTTGCATAAAAGCAAGAGTAACTCATGAACATTATTAAACAAACACATACTGGAAGAAACTGCACGATAGTGCTCTAACTAGGGCTCTGTAGAGATTACTTTGATATGGATTTATATGTATTTCTGAGTTACCTCAGGGCATAGCTATGCACAGGGCAAGTGGAATGGAGATAAATGAGCTAAATTAACTTTGAATGATCTAGTTCTGGTACCAGAAATCATAGACCAGGTCTGATACACCTTGTTTTGTTAGGTTAGCACAGTGCTATGGACAGGATAGCAGGATCACATCACTTCTAGTATCTGCATTAACCCATATCAAGTCAATTTAGGTATATTCAGAACAGCAATAATGAACATAGAATGCTTCTCCTTTTCTTAAGTGAGCACAACCATAGATTAGACCTTAAAATACCATAACACCTAATTAATACAAAATTAAATCAATATGACAAGTTGTGCTTTCAGATAAGGCAAATTTAAAACATATATTTCTACACTCTGAAAATGCTGAAAACAATGACAATTCAACTGAGACTTAACAGCAATTAAACTGAACATAATTATAATATTTGAAACCTGCACAAAGGGAGAAAGGATAATGTGTCCAACAAATTCATATTCACCGACTTAATGTTGTGCATGAATACTCCATTAGTAAGCCACAGGAAACATAGTTTTACTCATGTTGTTTTCCCATGGTAGTTTTTGTCACTGTGCTTGAAACGATACAAGTTGAAAATCATCCACATGCTGTACTCCCTGGACTGGTGCTTCTCCTGGCATAAGCAGCTGTAACTCCATCAACTCCCAGCCTTCTACAAATGAGCAATAAAGGTTTCTATCTAGAAGCTCACTGAAAATACAGAATACTATTGGAAAAGCAGCCATGGCTGCTCCAATACTGTCTCAAGCTGCTGTTTCCCACAAATACTTTATTCTGGAAGCTGATTCTTTGCAGGTAGTATTGCTTTATTAATTAATCACAGAATGATGGATTGGAGCCTGGTTTCCCTGCCTGCTTTGCTAGGAATAAGGCATTTATACACAACTAATTCATATTGAACTTAACCTGTGTAACCTTTAGCATACTGTAGAATTAGAATTTTGTGCAAGGCTCAAACTGTATTTCTAGATAGCTGTTACAATGCACCAGCTGTAGGATATTGCTCCACCGCTCATCTGAAACAGGAAATGGCAATTTCAGGTCAGGTAAGTGAGCAGAGCTCAGGCAGCAGAGGAGGTCTGAGACAGCAAAGCTGAACATGTTTAGTAGCAAAAGTGGGATGTGGCCACGCAAAAGAGAGCTCTTACATCAGACATATACCACTGTTTAAGAAGGATCCACTATCTATGCTGGGAAGTCTCATCACTACTATTTTATAATAAATGCTAGAAGATCATGGATCTAAAATACTGAGAAGTACCTCTTCATGGTACCTCAAACAGCTGACATTAGTGACACTTCATCACAAATTCTATTTTTTCCAAGAAAGTGCCAGCAGACTCCTAGTTTGTTTTGAAACTTCATCAAAACAGAGCTGTCCTCATGAGCTCAGGGGGTAGGGATGATCATATGTGGAACTTCCACACAATTTCCACTGTGTGAAAACACATCACATATGTTTTCTATTATTTTTAATGACAGTCTCTCAGCTGCTTCTCATAGTACTCAAAAGTCTGCTCAGCTCCTGTTTAAAGCAGGTTCCTAGTCTATATGCTAAGATTTCCTTTCTTTTAATTTTGGGGCAATACTGTTGTCTGACCAGCTTTTGGGACTGGAAACA